ATAATCCTTTTGTAATTAGGGCAAGAGGACTGCAAATTACATGAATAAATATTCCAATTTGAGAGAATTTCTAAAGGAAAATAAAAAAGAGGTGCTCAAAACAAAATTCAGTTAAAGACCTAAATGTAAAAACTAGATCTGTAACGACCATCAATGAAAAAAAACAGTGACAAACTTAGGGGACCTAATACATGGCATAAATACACTGCCAGAAATAATTAAAAACACATGAACAGTAGAAGACAAAATAGATGACTGGAATCTCCTAAAAATTAGATACTTACATGAATCAAAAGATTTTATCAAAAGAGTAAAAATACAGCCCACAGATTGGGAAAAAAATTTTTTGCAACTACATATCAGACAAAGGATCTCTGGTAGCGTAGTGGTTACGAATCGGGCTGCGAACCTCAGGGTCAGCAGTTTGAAACTACCAGCTGTTCCGCAGGAGAAAGATGAGGCGTTCTGCTCCCATAAAGATTTACAGCCTCGGAAACCCTGTACAGGGTCGCTATGAGTCAGAACCGACTCCACGGCACATCACAACAGAACAGCAACAAGTAGTATAGCACACCATATTTAAGAGAAATATAATATGAGCTACATATAATTTTTAATTTCTAGTAGTCACAGAAATACACATGAATCAAACTTACTATTTTGTAGAGATAATGGAGAGGTTCAGTATCATCAATCAGAACAAGGCCAGCGATCAAGTGCAGAACATACTATCAATTGCTCCTATGCAAGTTCAGGTTAAAGTCAGAGAAAATTAAAACAAATACAACCTTGAGTATATCCCACCTGAATTTAGAGATCATCTCAAGAATAGAGTTGATGCCTCAAACACTAATGACTGAAGACCAGAAGTCATTAAAAAGAAATTAAGAAGTCTTTAAAAAGACAGGTTAAAAAGACAGGAAAGACCAAAGTAGATGTCAGAAGAGACCCTGAAACTTGCTCCAGAACGTAGAGTAAAGCAAAAAGAAGACAGGATGGCATAAGAGAGGAGAACTGAAGATTTCAAAAGGCGGTTAGTGAAGACAAAGCAAAGTACTATAAAGAAATGTGCAAACAGCTTGCATCAAAAAAACCAAAGGGGAAGAACATGCTTGGCATTTCTCAAGCTGAAAGAACGGATGACAAAACTTATGCCTCAAGTTTCAATACTGAAGGATTCTATGGGCAAAATATTGAGCGATGCAGCAAGCATCAAATGACGATGGAAGGAATATATACTGTACCAAAAAGAACTGATTGAAATTTAACCAATTCAGGAGGTAGTAAATAATCAAGAACCAATGGCATTTGTTATAGATTTAATTGTATCCCCTCAAAATATATGTCATCTTGACTTGGCCTTGAATCTCAATGGTTTGGCAGTTACATAATGAAATGATCTGATGTAATAAGCCAATAAGAGGATTAAGGGTGGGCATAGTGACCCTCTACAGGGTTTCCAAGGAACAGCTGGTAAGCTTGAACCACGGACCTTGAACTGCAAGGTGGTTCAAGCTCACCAGCTGCTCCTTGGAAACCCTCTACAGAGTCACTATAGGTTAGAATCAACTCGATGACACTTAACAACAACAATACCCTAGCAGCCTTGGTGTGGTGCTGTACAATCAGTACTGGACTGCTTTTTGCAAGATCAGGGGTTCAAACCTACCAGTTGCCCCATGGTTATTAGTGCTGTTGAATCAATTTCAATGAACAGCAGCCCTGTAAAGGGGTTTCCAAAGAGCAGTTGGTGAGTTTGAACTGCCAACCTTGTGGTTCAAACCGACCTTGAGGTCCAGTGCATTATCCTGCAGCACCATTAACTACTGCAGGACTCATTAAAGGGTTGCTGTGAGTCAGGACCAACTTGATAGCACATAGTCACAATGCCCTTGTAGTCCTGGTATGGCGCTGTAGGATCAGTACTGGACTGCTAACCGCAAGGCTGGTGGTTCAAACTCATCACCCGCTCCTTGGGAACCCTATACAGGGTCGTCGCTATGAATAGAAAATGACTGTATGACACTTTACAACAATACTCTCAATCCTGTTATGACCCTGATGGAAGTAGCCTACAAAATCTTACAAAGATAAAAGTAGAAGTGAGCAGAGAAGGGGACTTACTACCACAAAGAAATAAAAGCCACGAGTGGAATGCATCCTTTAGTTACTGCACCGTGAAGCTCTTAGATCTATGGAAAAAATTGTTGCCGAGACACTCAGAGATCCTCAAAGGATGCTGGGCCTACACATGCTGAAAGGACACATGGACCTTTCATGGGAGAAAGCCTTCATCTAGAGGCGGTACTCTGAATTTGGGCTTATAACTTCCTATAAGAAGGTAAGAGAATATAACTGCTTGTTAAAGCCATCTGCTTGTGCTATTTCTAGTTAAAAGCTACACTGGATAACTAAGACAGTACTGAAAGAAATCTAAGGTGCACAAAGACATTAGCAAAAAACAAAGCTCAAGAAATTGATGGAATACCAATTAAGATGCTTCAACAAACAGATGCAACCCCGTAAGCGCTCACTTGCTTGTGTCAAAAAATTTAGAAAACAGCTACCTGTCAACCAACTGGAAGAGATCCATATTTGTGTCCATTTCAAAGAAAAACAGCCCTTTCTTTGGAATAAGAAAATATTAATATCACACACAAGTAATATTTTTCTGAAGATAACTTTAAGACAGTTGGTGCAGTACATCAATGGGCAAATTCAAGCTGTATTCAGAAGAGGACATGGCACAAGGGATTTCACTGTTGAAGTCAGATGATCTTGACTGAAAGCTGAAAGTAACAAAAAGATGTTTAACTGTGTTTTATTGGCTGTGCAAAGGCATTTGAGTGTGTTGTTGTTGTTAAGTGTCATCGAAACAGTTCTGATTTATACCAATCCTGTACAGGGCTCCTGAGGCCTCAAAAAAAAAAAAAAATCTGCAGGAGAAAACAGTCTCATCTTTTTCCTGAAGAGTGATTGGCAGGGTGGAACTGCAGACTGTGTGGTTAGCAGCTCAAAAGTCACATGTGACTACTGGTTATGGTATAACACTGTGCTTTAAATTATGGTAAATCTGTCCTAAAGTTAGCAAAATTGTATCCAAAATTCTTTCCATAGTAACTTTGACACTGGGAATGGCCATACCTATTCTGCAGAAGGAGTCCTGGTGTGGCGCTGTGGGATAAAACACTAGACTGCAAGGTCAGTTTGAAAAGCAAGGTCCGTGGTTCAAACTCACCAGCCCCTCATTGGAAACCCTATACAAGGTCGTTAAGAGTCAGAAGTGACAGTGACAACAGCACGTAACATTATTCTGCAGAAAAAGGATGGGAATAGGTACAGAAACATCAGCAAGAGGAAGGCGCAGAAACTGAATGGATCTTGATGGCAGTATGTGAAGAATTTTCTTGATCTCTGTAAGCAACTTTGGGGAGCAAGTGCCTATGACCAGGAAGGAGGTGCACATATAGCAGATGAGCACCATGAATGGGAGATTGTTAATGGAAGGGAAGTCAACTGGCAGCTGGTGTGGGAGATGAGGAAGACTCTTTAAAAGTATTGATCAACCACTGCTAGGGCACTCTCCCCACAAGCGACCTAATCAAAGTGGCAGTTAAAATAAATAAACAAAATAAACATCGTGGTCACTATTTTTTTTTTATTATTATTATCTGGAAATTCAGATGGTAGGAGAAGGTTGGTAAGATCGAATTCAGAGATATTGTTAAGCGCTGTTGAGTTGTTTCCGATTCATAAAGACCCTGCATAGGGTTTCGGAGGCTGTCCATCTTTGCAGGCGCAGAAAACCTCCACCTTTCTCCCGTGGAGAGGCTGGTGGATTCGAACTGCCAACCTTGTGGTTTGCAACCCAGTACTTATTATTATACGGAACCACCGCGCTCCTCGAATTGAGCTACCCCACTGCAAAATAACGTAACGGTTACGAATAGGGATGCTAACTCAGCGTCAGCAGTTCGAAACTACTAGCTTGTTCCGTGCGAGAAAGCTGAGGCTTTCTACTCCCGTAAAGATTTACAGACTCCGAAACCCCGTACGGGGTCGCTATGAGTCGGAACCGACTTCCACGGCACATAAGAACAACAACTGCAAAATGACCATAACAGGGTAGACAGTTTGGGGCCGGGAGGTTGAAAGATGCAGAGAATCTGAAAGAACAACACGGTGGCAGCATTTTGCACTGGTAGCTCCAATGAAGAAAGGCAAAGAACCCTGCAACCATAAAGATGGACACTACCTTCCTCCTCCCCTTTCGCCTTCAATCTGGCAGGTACTCGTAATAATTACTGGCATTGCACCCACAAACGCCTTAGGAATTCGCAGGCCCCAAACCAGCACGATCAACAGAGAGCTCTCTCCCTCGACGGCCTCTCCTGGGCCCGTAGGTCTCCAGATCTGGACTCACCCAGGCCCACACCCCGGATCGCTGCTGCTGTGACCGGTCGCCTCCAGCCCGAAGACCAGGGGAGTCGTGCAACAGTGTCACACAACACGAGTCAATATCCACCTTCTCTATCCGATTCAGCTCCAGCTGGGGAGACTTCCCTGTCCCCACCTCCGCTGACACCGGAAGCACTTTCTGGGCCTGCCTGACAGCGCTCTCTACCAATCGTTTTCTCCGAACTTTACAGAGCTCCACTAAACTTTGGGAGAACGCTCCATTTCCTAGAAGAAAGGGATTTGGGGCGGAGAGAAAGAGCCAATAGGAGAAGAGAGAAGGCAGAGACTCCACCACCCTGTTGTCGTCCCCCCCACCAGACGCCTGGAAGTCCCTCCTGCGGCGTCTTCTGGCTCGCTGCCCACAGGCCCCCGCCGGCGGCTTCGCGCTGCCTTTGGCGCGCGTGACTTGTGTCTTGGGTGTGAAGGGTGGTTTCGTAGCTGAGGGCACGAAAAGGGACTCCAGAATCTCGAGGCCACTGCATTCGCTGTCTCTTCTTCGTCGCAAACGCAGTCCGCCTGGGAGACGCCCCGTGGCCGGCGCGATGAGTGCCAACGAAGACCAGGAGGTGAGTCCCCGATCCCTGAGGGAGGGCTTCTGACCGCCGCAAGCTCCGGGGAGACCCGGTGTCCGGACAGGTGTCCGCGCACGTGCCCTTCTCTCCTAGACCTGCCGAACCCCCGGTTTACCGGTGCCTGAGGGGAGAGTCTCTGCCTCCCTTACACCCGCATTTTTGTATTTTGAAGATCTCTGGGTCGACCCAGCTCCGTAATAAACAAGGGTGAGTGTCCTTGGTACACTGCCAGGGTACACTTTATTGTTGTTATGAAGTGCGTCGACCCAGTTCTGACTCATAGCGACTCTGTGTAGCGTTTTCCTGGAGTGACTTGTTAGTTTGAACCACCGACCTTGAGGTTACCAGTCCAGTGCTTATCCTACAACGCCACATCAGGACTCCTAGCTGGTTGCAATCCCGTGTGAATTGAGTGAAGGTTTACAGAGCAGATCATCAATTTCACATTCAGCAAATCATATACTTTGCTTCATTACAATGATTGCAATCCCGTCCGTGAACCATCAGTTAACAGTATTTACATATATTCACTTTAAGTGTTGCATTTCTCCCTGTGTCTCCCCATACTCTCATCTTTCCTCTGCCAACCTCCCTCCCATTGTACATTGCCTGCTCTGTCACCTACATTAACTCAGGTCTACACTCTAGCCCTTGAATAACTTTTCCCTCCCCCCTCCCCCTTGTAACCTCTAGACTGTTTCTTTTATCAAGAACTTTCACAACAGTGGTCTCAGCAATATTTGACCTTTTGTGACTGATCAACTTCACTCAACATAGTGTCCTCCAGGTTCATCCATATTGGGAGGATTTTTCAGGTTCATCATTATTCTTCCACGTTTTGTAGTAGCCCATCATGTGTATGTACCAAAGTTTGCTTAAACCATTCTTCTGTTGATGGGTATTTAAGCTGTCACCCCGTGTGTACTTTTATCACTTGTGTACTGAGTTGGGGAGTCCTGGGATGGCTCTGTGGGATAAGCACTGGACAGTTAACCACACAGTCGGTAGTTCGAACCTACCCATCTAGCTGCTCCTCGGAAACTCTGTACAGTGTCACTATGAGTCCGAGTTGGGGGACTCTGTAGGTTGAGTGCTGGTTGGCAGTTGGAGCTCACCAGCGGTTCCTCAGGAAAAAGATGAGGCTTTCTGGTCCTCCAAATATTACAGCCTCAGAAACCTCATACAGGGTTGCTATGAGTTGGAACCAACGCAATGGCACTTAACAACATGCTGAGTCACTCTGAATTTTAACCATGATAAATTTTGTGTTTGTGTGTGAATTTGCTTAATATTTATTCCGAGTGTGTAGTCTAACACATGCAATTTATATGTGTGAGAAGGTACATATATAAGT